GAATCGCCAAAGGCTTTGCAATAAAATCTGGGCACCTGTTTTTCTCCGTTTCTCTGCCTTTATGACTAGGGGCCTGCAAACACGTTCTGCTGTAAGCTGCCACATCACACCTCTGTCAGGTTAAACAGACATGCTCCTCCAAAACGTCTGTGGCAGGCACAGCCCACGGTGCCAGCAGGACAAACATCAAGCCCTGGGCCTTTTCCCATGCATCCTGATGCAGGGATACCCTGCTACTGCTTGCTGAGGGGTGTTGGAGCATTTCACTGGTGCCTGCTCTGGGCTGCATGCCTTCTTGCCACAACTCTTCCACAACAGGGGAGGGAACCCTGATCCCTGGTGCTGCTGTGCAGAGCCCACAGCGAGGGTCAGGTGCTCAAGCAGAAGGCTGCAGTGCCACCTCCAGCACCCCACAGTAGCCAGACACCCTCAGAGGCAGCAGGATGGTGGACAGCGCCTAATGTGAGAACCACACTAGCCTCAAATAGCAGCTGGTAAGCAGGTGGGATACACTCTCCAGCACCTCAAATAACACCAGAAATCTGTGCAGGCACAGCAAACCTCCTAACAGTTCCTACCAATCCTGTGTATTGCTAATCCCAAACCTGTGCAGCACTGTTTGCCTTGATGGAAGAGCTACTGTCTATCTTCTGGGAGTCACAAATTTCCCTCTATTTGTAAATCCAACAAAATGCCAATTACACGAGCCAAAAGAACAGCAGTGACAAAGCTGCTGCTGGCAGGTAAAGTAAAAATCCTCCAATTGAAGGGAACAAGCAAGAGGACATTGAAAGTGCTGCTGGGACCCACTGAAATGATGTTGTGACCCCCACCATAGGTCTGTGAGGCACAAAGGCCATACAACATGCAGTGCTGCCTTGTGACACCACCTGGAAACTTTGTCAATAAGGTCAGAGACCTTCTCTGGCTGAGAATTTTCCCTGCAAGTGAGAGTAGGGGTATCTGATCATACAAATGATCAGACGTCCCAACTATTAAGCAAGATTTTACTAATTTTTTTTTTTTTATTTAATGAACTTTTCTTACCTCTGTGGTGTCTCAGGCTCGGGGGAGAAGAGCTTTTCTCTTTTCTGACCGTTTCTCCTCTGGTATTAACTTTTTACAGTGTTGGCAGTGCTGTTTGTTTGGGATCCAGGTCCCAGGAGTCAGGTTTCCTCCTTGCTGGGCACAGGCAGGTCCCTCTCCGCCCACCTCCACCACCCAGAGGTAGGTGCTGCAGGCAGGGTGCCCAAGTGCTGACCTGTGCTTGTCTCATTGCACCTACAGGTCCTTCACAGGCACTGCCCACCACGGGTGTTGGTGCTTACCCATCCCTTCTTGTGAGCATGACTCCAAGCAGGTGGAAGGAGGGTCCTGGGACACACGATTTTTGAAACATCAGCACGATTTTAGCTCGTAGGTTTCAGAGGTAGGTCCTGCAGCAGTCAGTGCCCACATAAGGCACCTTTGCCATCTCTTGCCCTGGCCTGCAGCCACCAGCTCTTCTTAGGCCAGATGAAACCAACTCAGGCACCAGCATCATGAGAAAAATAAGGCCTGCTTCATCCTTCTAAATTTCTTGATGAGGTAGAAAAATGCTGGGAGCATTCAAGGCTTTAAACTGCCGCAGGGATCCCAACCTTGTGCAGCAGATCTCAGTGCCATGATAGGTGTGGGCTCTAGGAACGTATGTGCTGACCTTTACTACTCAGTGTTGGTCTCACAAGGGTTTCCAAAATCCTTCTGTTTTGAATATATACACTGAGCTGGCAGCAATGGTGCCATAGTTTTATCAAAGTAACTCCCACGCTGAATCTCATGCTTCTAAGCATCTGGAAGATATTTGCTACCAACCAACATATGCTATCTCACAGCTTTATTTTATATCTTCTTCCTAATATCTAATATTCAGCTGTTATTGGCATCTGCTGAATGAGCTACATGATCCAAGCTGCCAGATCCATACCATTATGTTTTCATTGCAAAAACTCAGACAGCATGTGTGCAATGAGGTGAGGTTTCAGCATTCCAGCTCCCCAGCAAAGAAGGGAAAAAAATGACCAAAATTCCCGTAAAGTTCTAAGCCACAAGGATGAGCTTTCAGGCCCAAGTGTTTGGCATTGCTCAAAGGGATATTATGTCCATTACATTTTTCCAACCACCTCATGGTATTTTACTTATTTGCCATGGAAAGGCAAAGGCTGGTCAGAGTGAAGAACAAATGGAAATGCCTACGTGCATGAAAGGTCCAGGAGAATCTAAAGAGTGGGAGAGAGAAAAGAAAGGTTTCTATGCTAGCCCAGGACATGATGGAGAGCTATTATATAGGTAAAGATTGAGGAAAGTGCTGAAAACTCAGTCCAAAAGCTAGTTCATTATCATCAGTCCAGAGACCTAAGAGACTGGACAAGAACTCGACACCCGGCTTTCTTCATCTTCCACATCACAGAATTGTCCTGGTGGGAGGGCACAGACACACACAGCAATGGCTCTCACAAGAAGGAATAAAAACTCATGAAAGAATGGCTGTGACTAAAAACAGTTTGCTTGACTTCCTTTCTTTGCCTTTCCTTTCTACAAGGTCATTCAATAAGTTTTGTTTAATGTTTGTTCCCTACAAAATGACGGAACTCATGCTGACAGTTAAACAAACTTCCCTAGAAATGGGATGAGCTCCGGATACAGAAGCACCCATTCTCCCCTGGGCACAGATCCTGAGGGGCATGCTGGGGTCCTGGCTTGGGTCAGGTATTCACAAGTCACACCTCTTCCAGCACTGGGTAAAGTTCAGTTAGACACTGGGCTGTTGTACCAAGCAGGTCTATTAGTCTGTAACAGTGGTCTCTGCTGGACTTGACCACACCTGATGGCCACATTCACAGAACCAGCTAAACAACATGTTCCACTCAGCTTAGCAGCTGTGCAGGCACCAGGCAGTCACTGCTCTGCTCTGAAATCCTCCTCACCTTCTGCAGGAAAACCTTTTAAGAGCAAAGAACTCTCTGGAACTTTTCTGGCTTTTTAAAGAATTCTTAAAAAGAACACAGATGAGATGCAGGGGTCTCTTCAAAGTGTATCAGTGCAACCCTGCCTCTCAGCAATCTGAATGCTTCCTGAATATCAGTGGGCTTGGTCCTCTTGTGGAGTGGGGAAGCATCAATCCCATATCACAAATGCTCAAGTGAGACACAAGCTGTGTTATTTGGTTGCACACAGAAAGAGAGAGAACTGACTACGGAATTAAGCCCAATGTTTGAGTTCGGTACAGTAAACAACAGACCATCTTGTCACCTGAGGTATTTACGGGATAACTTGTTTTTCTTGCTTAAAATGTAAACCTTAGACAAGGAGCAAACACCAAGGGCCAGATAATCTGTTTCTGGTAATCATCTTCTCAGTTACACTGCAATCACATGGAAGGCTGCAATTAAGATAAAATATGTGTTTGTGCAGAAAATCCACTCGCTGTTTCATAAAGCAAATTGTTTTCTCTGTGTCTGATAATGCATCAAACTACTTTGGCTTTTCTTTCTGCAAGACAGCTCTTCTCCTGAGTAGGAATAGACAAAACAGGCTGGAAGGAAGAAACAAAGGTGATGAGCAGCTGTGACACCGTCAGCAGTCTTGTCTGTGTGGATTTTCCTGTACCATAGGTTACTAACATCCAAAGGACTGGTGACCTGGGGCCACACACGGGTCATGGACACACTCCTGTGCCCACCTTTCTCAGCTGCAGCTGCTGCTCCCAACCCAAGCTGTTGAAACAGCCTGGTTGTCACTGCTGCCCAACACCAGTATGGCTTCTTGAGGCCACAAGGGACAAACTGGGACAACTGCTTGGCTTGGGGCTGTATTTTCTCCCCTGTCACTGTAGCTGGAGGAGACTCTCAAGCCTGACTACTGCAGAAACGTAACCTGTGATGACTCTAACACTGTGTGTCCTGCTGGGAACACTCCCACGTGGGATTTTTGGTGGAGCTGGATATCAAGGCAGTGAGTTTTGAAAATAAGGGCTTGTTCAGTCACGCCCCTTGGAAGGGAGCATTCTCCACTCCAAATCCCTTGGTGTACTCTGTTTTCTTTACATAGTTCAGGGTTAAAAAAAACATAGCCTGTTATGACTAACACTATTCAGTTTGAAGGATTAGTAATTCATGAATATTTCAGAAGATCACAGTACATCAGTACTTCAAATTCATGCCAACTGTTTTGATTCCACTTTTCTTTCTGATCATTAGGTATTAGCATTTCTACACAATCTGCTTTAACATCTTGAAAAATACAGCACAAGGGGAGTCGTCTTGAGTCTTCAGTGACAAACAAGTCAATAAAGATAAATAAAATGGCTGCCAATGTGGAAACTTTTGTTTACACAGCTCAAAACTAACACTTTTGTTAAGTGATGATGTGTGTACATTTCTATAATCCAGTGCTGTCAGGCCCTGGGGCAAATCAGATGAAAAAGGGTGGTATTTTAGTAGAGCATGTAGAAAATTACAAGCCTGCAATACGATCTGTGTTTGAGATGGTTTGCATTGTGTGCTAAATGAAGGGCTGAAATCTTATAAGGGACTTAATCACATCATATGATCAACCACAGACAAAACATATTTTCCTTGGAAGGAAATATACCACTATGAAAAGGCAGCAAATGGAGCAAAATGCATGTGAGTCAATTGTTAATAACCGATTTAATTCCAAAACTGCATCTCCTCTTTTCAGCCACGCAGTAGGCAGCTGACCCCATCAAATGCTGAGGACCAGGTATTTGGCAGACATCAGTGGAGTCTCAGCCAAGGGTCCAGCCAGCCCAGCCGATATAGGTCAGCTCTTGGCTGATACAGCAGTATATTGGAGTGTAGCTAGGACATACTCATCTGCAGCTCTTCTTTCAAGGGTCATATCCCATTCTCTTCCATCCCATGTACCCTACTCTGTAGAGTGAGCCACCACAAGGAAGCAGAGCCTGGTCTGAGGAGGGAAGCAGTGATGCACTGGTTTTACTCTTCTGCAGTGCCATTGATGATGTGACTGAAGGAGAACGGAGAAAATTTGTACCCAGCTCCCACGTAGAACTTGTTCTGAAATTCCACCCTAGGGAGAAGCAGAAGGAGGCATCAGTGTTGCCTGTAGGCAGGACTTACAGCCAGCCAAGAGGCTGAAACACGGCACCCATGGGAAAAGGGAGGCCACAAGATGTACTCTAAGCTGCAAATTTAGGACCTTTATGGGACCAGCAGTGAGACACAGGCAGCCCAGGGAGCAACGTGGCACACATCAGCTCTGACTTTCCATCAAGCCGGGCTGGAAATGCTCATCATGAGGCCAGTCAGCAGAACCTTGCCTGGCAGCCTGCCTCTAGCAGCTCTGAGAGCTGGGATAACCACCTGCTGGTTGGACACCAGTGGGAGACAGACACCTCCTCCTCCCTGCACAATGACCAGCAGCAGCACCCTGGTTTGCCTTGGCAGTGTTTATGACTTGTGCTGGGACATTACTCAGTGAAAAAGACCACAGCCTGAGGCTCAGGTAGGGTGCTGAGTTATGGTGGGGGGTGTTTTGTCACCTTGTTCTTGCTCACACACTGATGGTGTGTCCACACTGCTGTCCTTGCCTGGACTGATGATCAGTCAAGGCCGACATGGGCTAACTTGGAACTGGTTTGCCACAAAGCCTAAGCAGGCTGAAGCTCACCTTGGGCTGATGATGCAAGCTGCCCTTGGCAGCTGTCTTGTTAGATCCTTGGGTGGGATCCACAGCCAGTGGTGTGGCTGTGCTGCCTTTGTGCCTTGTCATGCAGCTCAAAGGGGCCTCAGTGGCTCTGCATTTTTCCTGGGACAGACCTGCAGGCTGCCATTTGCCTCACATGCTGATCACCAGCACAGGTGCAGGAAGACAAGCAGGTTACTCCAGGGAGCCGGTCAGAGCAGGGATCTCTCAGCTCCCTTTGGAAGAGTCTCCCTCACTTCATTTGCCAAAGGCAACTAATGTTCCAATGCACTGGCACAGCACGTCTAACACTGTGCCCACCTGTTCCCGCAGCCTGTTCCCTCCCAAAGACTGATCTGGAAAAGCTCCAGAGGACCTCTCCACGTACCAGTGCAGGCGCAAGGCGTGTAGGAAGGCTGAGAGCCCCTCCATGACCAGCAGGATGGCTACTGTCAGCACTGCAAACGCTGCGAAGATGATGAAGATGGCGATGAGCCCTGCCCAGCCGCTGCTGCTGAGCCCGTTGTGCATCACCATGGTCCAAAGGACCTCTGACAGCTCTGCAGGAGGAAATAAAGGGAAAACAGTGCTGAGCAGTAGCTATGGACAGACACAGCATGCAGTCTGCCAGCTCACCCATTTTTCTCAGTTTGTAGAACATATACGCCTTAAAGTTTTTTAGTTGCTTTATTTTATTTAGGTATGTTCTCCATGTAAAGCTAATGCGTATCAGCTTTCACCCCACTCCTACTAAGCTCAATTCTGTGACAAGAAGTACAGCTTACACCTGTCAATCCATGGCACACCACAGCATAGCCCCCCTCCTCTTTCTATTTTCCTTTTTTAGTGTGCACAATTCTTTGGGGCAGGTGCAATTCCTAGCCAGAGGCATTACAACAATCTTAATAAAAAACATTTCAGAAAAACTAGAAACATTGAAAATCTAAGTTCCAGCCTGAGGCAATTTCTAGTATTTGAGCATCTATTTTTAACAGAAATCAAGACAAAAGACATTGAAAGGTATTTCATTGAAATGAAATATTTCTCATGGAATGTGATGTTCCACTGAATGTTTCTGGGAAGAATCCCAGTGAAAATGACAAATTCCAGAAGCTCTTGAGCCAGACCTTTTCTTTCTTGTTTGGTGAACAAAATCAAAAGAACTGTCTCAATTAATTTTGGCATTCATCTGCGTACCCTAAGTCTATAACAAGAGCTTCTTGGGAAAAGCAGCTATGGCTCCCATGCTTCCTTCACCTCCTTGGACTGGACTACACAAGTGGGCTGCTCCTCTCACTGTGCCACACACCATGAGGGGTGCCTACAGAGCAGCACAGGAAAGGGGCCCCAGCCAGTGAATGTAATTAGAGCTGCCAGGGACCACCTCTGAAAACTGAGATGCCCACCATGAAACACTCGGAGTGATCTAACCAGAAGAAAAACATCCTGACACATAAATGTCCACAAGTAGAAATTTGGATTTCATGAAGAAATTTGCAGGAATAGTCAAACACCAGCAGAAGCCATGTCCAGCATGAGGAGACTAAAAGGGGACAATCACTCACGTGCGTGGGCCAAGCTCAGAGCCCAGAGTCGCAGGTAGGAGGCTGTGTTGGAGATGCAGCCAAGGCAGTATTCAATGGTGTGGATAGCTTGGTGGACAAATATGTCTCCAAAATTGAACTGAAACAACATGAAACCGAGAAAGTTTTACTAGTTCTCACTTCAGGGCTTTCTGGCTAAGAGCAACACTCCACCAAGGGCTCTTCGTACTCCTTTTCTTGCTATGTCCTCAGCAGCACAAAGGTATTTCCCAGGAAAAGAGACTGCTCTGAAAAGTGCCAGTTCTGTATGATCTCCCCACACATTCTCGCTGAAGAAATACGATTCCAGTGAAAACTAAATGTTTGGGGAGCAGCTCATGTTCCACTCTTACGATTTAAAATCCTTAAATGTCAATCCAGTTGCTGCCAGACTTTGATTTCTTGTAGAGACAGAAATTCTTATGTAAAATAGGGGCTTTCAGACTATCTATGGGCATACACATTTTGGGAGATATCACTGAATAACTCTATCTCATGATAATGAATAAGCAAATCTGTGAAGATTCCCTGTGACTGGGAACAGCCAGCCATATCCACACTCAATATTGTTGATACTCCCAAGTGCTACAAACATTTTTGTCACTTTTTCCTGTGTTGCTTCCTAATGTAGAAGCTTTTGACAATATCTGCCAAAGGAAGGATTCTCTCCCTAGTCAACAATTTAGTCTGCCAGCTTTAAATGCTCCTTTGCAATTTAGAGGAAGGAAAGCTCACTGACTCTTGGTAAAGTGTTGCCCTTCTCTGGGTGCAATGTGGAAGTGAAACAACCACCCTTGAAGAAACAAAAGCTTGAGGTTTGCAAGAAAGCCTGCCACCACCAGGCAAAACCAAAGGAAAAAATTAGAGGAATGAATTCAATGGAAGTTGAATTACTGAATTACTCTGTTTGGAAACATGAACTGTTACAACAGCATGTGTTGATATCTTTTAGAAAGAAGAGCTGACAACTCTGCAAAAGTCTTCTGCTTGACTTTGTGTCTTCTGCTGCTGTGTTTGTCTGATCAATTTTCTGTCCAAATTTTCTTACCTCTTCATCATCACCCTCATGTCCTTCATGGCCACCACTGTGGTCTCCCTGGGAAGCTTTCTTGGAGTGATTGGTCTCTGGGACATCTGCCTCATTTTCACCTCCTGAGTTTCCTGAGATGGCTTGAGAATGGATCTTTCAGAAACAAAACGCAGTATTGTTTGGTTGATATCAAAACGAAAAAGTCCATGGCACAGAATTCCCTCAATAACCTCATAATGGGTAACACATGGAGGATTATATCATGAAAACTAAGAAAGTTTCAGCAGTAGTCATCATGGACCACAGAAATTGAATATTCCCACCAAATGACTAATAATACCTAAATATTTTCCATCCTAGAGCATATTCCAGTGCTACTGGAATAATTCCAACTATTCCAACTATTTTGTAGCTAGTTTCTAGTGTCACAATGCACTCTTTGTTCCCACCATGAGAAGATCCATCACTTTTATCACCAAATGAGTAAACTGAGTTACCTTTAAAGCTGGTGATCCCAATTAGATGGGTGCAAATCAAAGGAATTAGTGTCAAGTGAAATAGCAACAAAACCTGGGAGGATCATATGACTTGATGAAGGTCACACAGTTCTTGGAAACCGGCAGAAATAAAATTCAAAGCTCTTGATTCATTTTAAATTGACAAAAACCTCATGGCAACCTCTCTGCAATTATTACAGGACTTTTCTAGAGGCCTGAACAACCTGATCTAATGGTCCTATTATACAGCATAACCAAATAGAGACCTCATGGCTTCTGTCAGGCTCTGCCTTGTCACCCTTTATAGCCTCCAGCAGGTTTCATGGGAGAAGTCTCCTGACAACATATTGTTTCCTATTGCAGCAGTAATGATTGTCACACCCGCTTTATCTTTGCTTTACCTGAATGTCAGCATAGAAAACAGACTTTGCTGCAAACATATAAATCTGGGGGAATGTAGGATATGATCAGACAGCTAACATATGAAAATTGAACAGAAATATGGGGGCACAACAGGAGGTGGGTAAAACCTGTCAGATGTTCCTGGCATAAAAGCAGGAGATGGAGCCAGCCATGTCAAGCCTTCATCCAAATTCCAGAAGAATGACAAAAGAAATTACAGTGCACAGGAAGGGCTGAAAAGGTCTCCCAGGGACATGGCTTTCAATTATAGGTCAGAAGTGACTGGGTTGGAAAAGGTCAAGCAGCAAAACCAGCATCTCGTTCTTCAGATGGAAACATCTGTGCCCTATAAAAGGTACTCCAGGCACTAACTCTGACTATAAAGAGAAGTAAATCTTGACTGACAAGTAAAGTCCTGTTAGTGTAATAAAGGAGAGAATTAATGATCAACTGGGAAACTGCAGCTGCTGCAGCTGTGTGTTGAGAAGCTGTGGGCAAACCACAGAGCCCATGGGAAGGAGGGCTCTGTTAATGTGAAGGCAATCACTTAACGAAGAAATAACTACTAGAAAGCAGGCAACAGCTTTTAAATCAAGCCTCTCCTTCGAGTGCTGTTGCTCTCTCCAAGGCCAGGACTTTCACAGATGCCCCATTTCTACAGAGCAGCAAACTAATGGTTTGTGGAGATTGTGGACTGACATTTGTATGAGGTATTTTCCCTGTCTTGGCTTTACCAGCACTTCAATCTTCATTGAATCTTGTTTGATTTTGGATTCAATAGGTGAAAGAGCTTGGTGTCAGCTTAACAAATAGGGTCTGCCCTTGCCAGCAAAGCTCCTGCTTCCAGGGAAATGTTTCCTTCACTGGAGATATTCAAAAGCTGTCTGGACACAAAACTGAGTAAAAAGCTCTAGGGGACCCAATTTGAGCAGGGAGTTTGGACCAGATGACCTCCAGTGATCCCTGCCAAATTTAGCCATTCTCTGATTCTAGTTTAGATAGTTTAGACATGTCCATACACATGTCCTGGGCATATGACTTTGAAATGGTCAGAGAAAGCCTGAGGTCAGAGAAACACAGAATTACATCACTGCAAAGAGTTTTTGGGGTCTGTTTCCCCAGCTTTTTCTTTGCTGTACTGAATCACCCCCTAACTGATCCACATCCCTTACCATGCGCTGCGCTTTCTGGTGGTTGGCTCTGAGGATGAAAGGTTTAATTAGGAGCATCCAGGGAATAGCAATCAGAGCAAATATGACCAAGAAACTCTGCACTTCTTTCTAAAAGACAAAACAACAAGAGCAAAATATTTCTTTACTTCCTTTAGCCAACTATGTTTATGGTTTAGAAATCTGATTCTATATAATGGTAATTTTTTCTAATATAACAAATACAACTCCCTGTTGTATTTACTGTATTTGGCTGTGCATCCTCTGCTTGTGAGAAAAGCACGTTCAGCTAGAGATGGTTGGAGACCTGGAGATGAAAGGTTTTCATACTGAAAAGGGTTAATTTACCAAAATCCCATGCTATTGACTTGAACCTGGCTGCTCAGTGTGCCAAGTGAATGTCCTAACTCTGTGTGAGTCAGTCAGTCTGCCTTGCTCTGATCAGTGTAGAAAGGCTGCAGGAAGAGCCAAGTCACTCAAGTCTTGCCCTGGATTAGTAAATCCACATCTGCAGTTCCAGGAGGAATTGAACCTCCACAGCTTAGGCTTGGTAACAGTTGTCCCCACAATATAAGGTGTGCTTACATTGCAGTATGGCACCCCTATCACTGACATAACTGTCTGTACTTCCAGAAAACAACAAAACAAACAAAGGAAACCTCAAACCACAACTTCTGCATTTTTTCGAAGCTGGCTCAGATGTTTGATCACCTTATGATTGGGCTCATACAATATTTTCATTCAGACTACCCAGGCAGAGAGCACATTCTGTTCCTGGTGGGGCAGGGGGATAGGAATATGAGAAAAAAATTGCCACCTTGGGAAAGCTTTGGGTTGTTACAAAGCACAATGTTAACTAAAGACCTTTGAAGGTTGGCAAGACTGTGTTTTTCCAAACTCCCCTGAATCCTTAACACAGCTACTTGGACCTGATCAGGGCTCTCTACTAGCTCTGACTCACCAGCTTTCCCTAAAATTGAGCTCATGTTGGAGTGCCCAGTATGCAACTGTGTAAATGTGGGTGCACACATGTGGCTGGATGCAGCACTTGCTTGCAGATTTCTTCATTGATGCTGCTGACGTAAAATCAATCAAAGAAAGAAAGAAAGAAAAAATCCATGTTCTGAGAATATAAATAGAGATGACTTTAAAACAAGTTTTCTCTTAGGGGAGATTTTTTTGCGTGCTTTTTATTTTTTCTAAAGTGAACTCCCAAGAGGAGTTATTTCTGACAAAAAGCTGCCAGAAAATCCTCTAGCTACTTCCACTTTTTCAAGTGAAAATATAAAGTATTAAAGCTTTCCAAAGATGAAATAGGAACTTATCAAGAAAGGGAGATGTCTCTAGCATTGTGACCAGACTGCAGGATAGCATGCCTGCAATACAGCTTTGTATCTCTATTCACACTTTGATTTTTTCCCCCAATAATATCTGCAACTGCATCATTATTCTTGTAAGAGCGACACTAGCAAAGAGATTTCCTCTGCATCACTGACTGATAGCTGCTCTCTCCTCCCTGTTGACAAGGCCAACACAAATACCAGAAGAATAAACTTTATTTCTGTGACTGACACTTGTGATTGAATTTCTGAGCCTGTATCTTTATGCCCACTCTCCACAACACCCACTGCAAACACAAAACCACAGGCTGCTTGATCCATACCTGATGCAGATACAATGGAGCATTTGAAGTGTCACTATAATTGAACAGAAACATGTTGATAAAGTGGATGAGGATGCTTGGTGCACTCTGGGATGAATGGACATCAAAATGACACCATTTGAAAATAATCATGAAGACCAGGTAGCCAAAGAGAGAGATAATAAAAATCATCTCTGGAATGAACTGAAGGATGATGTTTATGTATTTCCTGAAGTAGCTGGAAAGAATCAGGAAAGAAAACTACAGTTAATATACTAGATATTAATACAAGTTTACACCCAAGTCTGGCAGTACTTAGCTTTTGGAAAATAACCTAATAAATTTACAACTACCACTAGCCAAGAAAGAAGTCCATAATTACAGGCTTTATCAATGAAAGCCATTGTTTAAATACAAAAGCTCTGTTATACTGATTATCTTCAGATTTTTGTACTTGACCTGCCAGTATCTCAGCACCCCAAAAGATTAATACTCTGAAATAAAAGGGTTTTATTTTCAATAAATAATTATCCAATTTTCAAAAAATGTCATATTCACAAAGTTGAGCATTATATGCCAAGAAAGGTGTAGTATAAATCCTGTAGGGTCCTCTGAAACACTCTCTGTCCTTGAAGGTCACTACACACACTGCAGCTTTGGAGAGCCTCTCAACACGACAGTGTCAGCCCCTGCACTCTATCACCATTTTTTATTTGTTGTTGCAAAACACAGAGGCAGAGATAGAGAAAAGTACACCCACAAATCCTGACCAAGGGCTGCTAAGCTAGGTGAAATGCACATGCACACACCCTGCAAGATTTCAGTGTCTTTGGGTTTAGGCCAAAAGAGCTTGTCTTTCAAGAGAAAAGCTGTCAAAAGTGGGAGGTGCTACATCTTTTTAATTTAGTGTGCTTCAATATTTCTGCAGAATTGAGAATAAATTGAGGGAGGGAAAAAAAAGGCAATAAGCTAAAAAGAGAGTTTATTGAAGAAAATACTGCAATGTTATGGCTGTGCTTTGGACTTAGCACTGTGTATCAACCATTGTGTGAGTCAGTGCACAGGACACTTCTACTCACACCAGGGAAAGGTCAAGTCATCAGCCCAAAATATGGGGCTTTCTCTGAATGAAGGACACCAGTTTAGTGATGAGGACTTGTGTGCTGCTGCAGCAATAGGCTTGGTGAAATGAACTTACATGTGGTTGAAGAGACTGAGTATCACCCCAAAAATCATGTGCACAATCCCTATGACAACCGACATCTTCATTTTGTAGGAGTTCAGGAAAGTCAGCTTGTTCGATGCAACGTTCCAGATCTTTGGGTAAAGGAACAGGGAGAGAGAGAGAAGAACAAGATTTTCAGCTGTTTGATCAATAAAAGGTTTGTGGAAATTGTTGCTTTCACACCATCAATTTACTCCTACCAGTTCTAGTAAGAGAAGATTTCTAAGTAAGATTTCTAGCAAGGCACGGAAATGTAGATGTTCCTTTTATTACTTTGCCCTCTGCCAAGGTATTCATCTAAAATGTATACAGTATTAGACTTGCTTAACAAAGGAAATAACAAGGATTTAAAATGATCCCATGACTTTGCTTCAGTCCTCCAGAAACCACTGCAAAGGCTGGTAGCAGAACCTAAATCTTTTCTGTGCCATTTCCTGTCCTCAGGCTGAGTCATCTTCTTTAGCAAAAGTGGAAAGGCATGAGAAAATCCCTCCTGCTGCTACCAAAATTAGCTCCACCCTCACCAGAGAAGTACTAAGGACAGAGCATTTTCAAACTTCTTGTTTGAACAGAAAAAACTCTTTCCAACTCTTTGTCCATGGAGATCAACTTATTGCCTGCCCCTCTGCACTACCTTTTTAGTTATGCTAGGACATACATCCCTTCTCAGTCCTGCCTTTTTTATGCTACAGAGCTTCAAGGTTGCTTCTCCTTTTTTCTCAAACTTCCTAGATCCCAAAGTCTTCTGTCCTCAGAGACAGTAAGTAGACATCCCTTTTCAAACACTGAGTACAGTACCTGAAGAGAAAGGAGGAAAACAGGATTATTTGGAGGGTGAAACATTCACTGTTGCATGTTTGATGTGCTTTGCCTCTTTGGATACCAAAGAGACTGCCGAGCTTCCTCATTTCAGGATGACTTTTTTTCCATAAAGTCTGATACACCTCAGTCATCCCAGCAAGATTTGCAAAGTGCAAAGAGCCATCAGGGCAGATGACACAGATAATCTCCTCAGAGAGGGTCAGGCAGCGGCTGGTGCTTCCAGTCCACCCCTTTCCTGCCAGCACTTGTTCAGCCATTCTTCCCTCCCAGACAAGACTTTTATGCTCTTTAACAGGAAGAAGCCAGGTTGGAAGAGGTAGTCTAGGTCAGCCTAAATTAGAGATGTATCAGGGCAACATGCAGAAAACTCAGCTGCTTCTGAAGTGATTTTCTGGACCAGACTGCCCACATCCTGGGAAGAGCTTTCAAGCTGAGTTTATAAAAAAAGGACTACAAGGTCAATGTCTCTGAAAACAAGGGGAGGACAGAGTTTCTTTGGGTGACCAATTGAAATGAGAGTGCAACCAGCAGGGACAGGGGTTATTTGGCTAATATGAAGATTAAAACAGGAAAGCTTGATGCTAAAAAGTACATTTCAATACATGATAAAGACAGAATAACAAGAAAAAAGGAAATAGGGCACAGAGAAGAAAATGTGGCTAAGTTTATATATACTGGCATTTAGTTTACATTCCACGTGACAAACAGATCACAAGAAATTTGAAAGTTTGCCTTCAAACTGGTGCGGTATCTCTGGGATGGGTCAAGTACTCAAGTAAGGAAACAGACTCCAGCAGATGTGTGGTAGAAAAGAGACTGCAGCACAAGACCACTCTCCAGGAAAATCAAACTTTCTTCCTGCTTACCATTTTGCTACTGCCTGTGCAGAACCAGCAATATATTAATTGCTAATTGCTAAAGGAAAGCATCAGAAGGACTGATGAATGGGAGGGTAAGTGGTGGTTAATAAAGTTGTGTTGAATAGTGTGGAACCTGAGCACAATGTAAATAGTATGGAATAAGTGGAATGTGCTGATTTTGCCTGGGTTAGAGATATTTTTCTTCCTAGTGGCTGGTATGGGGCTGTATTTTGGACTTGTGCTGAACACAGGGTTGATGGTGTAGAGATATTTTTGCTATTGCTGAGCAGGACTTACACAGAGCCAAGGCTTTTGCTGCTTTTCATGAGGCTGGTGAGGAACCTGGGGGTGCACGGGAGGCTGGGAGGAGACACAGCCAGGACAGGTGACCCAAACTGACCAAAGGAACGTTCCAGACCGTATGACATCGTGCTCAGTGTACAGAGTGCAGGGAGGAAGGGCGGGGGATATTTGGAGTGATGGCATTTGTCTTCCCAAGTCATCCTTGGATGTGATAGGCCCCTGTTCTCCTGGAGAAGGCTCAACTCCTGCCTGCTCATGGGAAGAGATGACTTGATTCTTTACTTTGTTTGTGTGCACAGCTTTTGCTTTCCATGATAAACTGTCTATATCTCCACCCATGAGTTTTTTCCAGCTTTCACCCTTCCAATTCTCTCCCTGATCCCACTGGTGGGGGAGTGAGCATGGGGATGTGTGGGGCTTGGCTGCTGGCTGGGGCTAAACCACAATAACTGTGTAAGGAACAAAGAGCAAGGAGTGAAAAGCACAGCTTCAGGAGAGAGTGTAGGAAACTACTGATGTACCTGATACGTAGAAACAGGATTGAAATACAAATTATCTTAGAGAAATTTAGTTTAATTACCGGATCTATTCCAAATGGATATGGATTTCCAGAGTAAACTCCTGGGACTGCTGGATCCAACTGCAGCACTGTGTTGTCTAGAAGCACATCCTTACTACAAGAGGAAAGGGAAATTACCTTTGCAGCTTAATCTCCCCGTTGAAGCCCACGGTATATTTATGTGAGGTGTGCTGAGGACTACCACAGGATATCTGTGGCTGACTCCAGCCTTTCTGTGACCTGTTATCCTGCACTTGTGTGCATGTAAATGGGCCCCACACAATGGCAGCCTCCTTCACACTGATAATTCTCTATGCATCAGTCCTGGACACCTGCAGATTTTTATGCACATCAGTGCCTGAACAAACAGGCGTGTTCCCGGGGACTCTACATTTCCATTTCAATAGTGAGTTCATCTGTGTGTGTCAGACAAAACCTCTGATTCATTCATGACTGCATCCACAGCAGGGAGTCCTTCCCTTCCCCACACAGGCAGTCTCTCTTTCCAAGCCTACATGCTCCATTTGGTGTGTTTTTACTTCCCTCTTACATTTAGCACTTACTTCCAAGTGTTATTTTTAAACATGGGGATGATATGCCAGGAAGAACCAAAGAAGTTGAACGATTTGGAGAAGCAGTCATTGTAGATGAAGCCAGTGTACATGGAGAAAATGCCCATGAGCAGGATCAGGTAGCGCCCGCTGAAAAAGGTGTTCCAGATCTGCAGGGGGAGAAGGCAGTGCCCATGACCAAAGTACCTGTAGGTCCATTGGTCAATTGGTGGGCCTCAACCAACAAGTAGACTTGATTGTACTAATCTGTATATATACAATTATTCATAGAAAATTTTGGGTCTCTTAGGCCCTCTGTTTATAAGTAGGTAGAATTGCCAAACTTCTGCCTCACGGGTGTCTTTGAGCCATCTCCACACAGCCTTTGGGAGGCTGGATGTCCCCTTTATCAGAGGGGGCTGATGAGCCTTTCCTTATGCTGACAGGGCGTACCCAGTGCCCTGGAACTCACCTCATTAGTGCTTTTCTGGGCCAGAAGGCTCTTCTCATTAATGACCATCCAGAGTGCGAAGCCCAGCATGACAGCACCATGGCCACAGTCCCCAAACATCACCGCAAACAAGAAGGGGAAAGTAATGATAGTGTAGGGAGCTGCAGGAGGGAAAGGTCAAGAAGCTCAGCTCCCTCTAAACAAAAAGGGCTCATCAAAGAAGCACTCTACCCCATCAGGCTGTTCCTTACAGGTACTGCCCTCAAAGGCTCCTCAATCCCTCCCCTACATGCCAAGCAGTCAGATCTAGTGCAGAACTAGCTTTACCATCACAAAGAATGTTCAATTGTATGACCTGTACCTTCCTTGAAGTTTTATCCTTTGTTTGTTGTCTTACCATAATAAACATCATGTGTAGACAACTGCATTCTGTTTTGCAACACAAAAATGTATTTAAAGGTTACTATCATGTTTCTCAACCAGCTCAGCCTCAACAATCTGAGTTAATCTCATCCTTTCACATAGGCCCCCATTTCTAGGTTTCTACTAACTCTCAGTGGTTTGTCTGAGAGTCTCTACCATTGTTTCAAATTTTTCTCAGGTGCTTTTGGCCTTGTTTGCCTGAACACAGTGAGCTCAATTTACATTTTCCTTAGGAGTCTGGTTCTTTTCCTCGGAACAGCTACCTCAACATTTGTTCTCCATCCTGTATTTGTATAGTTCTTTATTTCCATCACAATCATTTACTGAAGACCAACAGCCAAATTATTTGCCTGAGAAAATCCATGCCTATGCACCAAACAGCTCCAAGATGGCTCAGATTTCTCAATCAGCAGCGAATATGTTTTTTAGGATAGTGAGAGAGCTTCAAGACTTTGGCTCATGCAAACCAGACGCATGAGTTGAGTTGAACATTTCTCACCTGGGTTCATCTCCCTGTAGTTGCCCACGCCATACGCATCCACGATATTCTGAAATCCAGCTGTGAACTTGTTGGTCCTGTTGAAGGTGGGTGGTGCCATCCTGGTGTGTATGGCAGTGAGGATGGGGGCAATCGTGGAGCCACTGCGTTCCTGAAAACCCGGTGACAAGGACAGACACAGAGTGGATAGAAGAACTGGCCCCACAACACCACTTCTGGCTCAGGGGTCTGTCACAAACCTGCTAACATTTAATGTTGACCTTTAGCTCCGTCAAAAGATGAAAGGTCAAACTACAATGGGACAACCTCAATTTTAAACAGAAAAGGGAGCCCCACATTACAGTAGCAGACCTGTCTGAACATATGCTCAACATGTAAACAGTTCAGTGCAGGTGAGAGCTTCAAGGACCCAAAATGTTGCTCTCTTACCATTCCTTGATGGAGAGCTTTTTTTATCCGGTCAGCGTCAGCCACTGGGAACCAGATCTCTGCAATGACACACTGCTGGGTGACATCGATGTTACAGCAATTCAGGATGTGGTAGATGGCCTTGATTTTCTTCACCTTGATACCCCAGGACCACAAGTTGGCTGCCGCCTCATGCAGCAGCCGTTGGCGGTGGGACTCGGTTTGTGTTATCACCTGTAAGCACAACACAGGGCATCACTCAGGATAGGGAAGCATGGGGGGCATGATCTGCTCAGTTAATTGGAGAGGGCAGGGGGAAGAGGGTTGATGAAGAGGAGCTGTTTGTGTGAATGCATGGGGTATCCTGGAGAGCAGCGTGTGCAGGTGTGGACACAGGATCACTCGAGACCAGGTGCACAGAGCTGCTCACCAAAGACTCTCCCTGCATAGTCCTGAGTCACTCTAAGTGTAGAGGAGACCACTGGGAGCTGCTGAGCTGTGGGATTGGCTCCCTACTCAGCTGCTTACAGACTGGCCATATCTCACCACGTGCTCCCAAGCTGCCATCTCCTGCAGGCAGCTCTGTGCACGATCTTGGGGCATGTCACACCCAAGAGCAGAACTACAGTTCATGGTCTTGGGACTCCATGCATCACGTGGCCACCACAGTGCTGCTGTGTAAATGATGGAGATAATGAGACAAGGTGTTGGGAGGACAGCCTGTGTGGTCTGCAGCATGGCTTCAGGCAGGACAAATATCTGGGCAGGTCCCACTTGTAGGGTTTAGTCCTCAGTAAAGCCACTTCCACTTACAGTGTTTAAGTCCTCGATCCTTGTGTTGACTCCATCAAGCATTTCTCGGCGCTCGGTGGCAGACTCTGGACAAGGATAGACTGTGGCACGAAATCTAGCCTCAGTAAGAGAGAGTTGAGAAACAGCTGTTATTTGACTGAGTTTTCTTCCTCTCTACTCTTCTCAACTCAAAGGCAGAAAAACTGGACTTCATTCCTGACCCAGCAGGATAGTCTCATGTACCACAAAGTCACACTTGGTCTCGCAGAAAGGTGCAAGTAGCTACCTTTATCCCTTGGTGAGAACAGGGATCCCTTCGCCTGTTCTAGCAGAAAAACACTCCTTGTCTTAGGTGATAGAGAGGACCTGATGTCATACAGAGGTCAGCACTAACACGTAGGCACCTCCCTTCTGTCCACAAGCTGCTTGACTTGCGAGAAGACTCAACAAAAGCCCATCCTGGCAAAGGCAGCCCCGCTAACACAGCAGCCAACAGATGTCCCTCTTGCACCGAGGCTGGGAAAATACCATATCCCTGTCTCTGCACTACTCTCCTGCAGGCACTGGGAGAAGGCATCAGCTGAGCTGCTGCTGCACTGCAAGCAAACTCCCTTTGTGCAGGCAGGCTGCATAAGTAAATAACCCCGTAAAGACAAACAAACAAAAGGACTACGTTTCCAGGATAAAATAGGAGAATGGCTGTCTGCCTCTGGTCCACTTGTTTGGCTACACAGCTTGGGAGCAAGGGAAGGATAGGTGAAGGGATTTAAACACCTGAGAGTGGTATCTGTTACATCAGCTTAGAAAAACCAGCTTAGAAAAAGCTTTTATAAGCTTACTCCCAAGGTTCTGTTTGGAAGATTCAGGGGGTTTGTTTAGTGTGGTATGACCCATGTAGGATTCTAAAATGAGTGAAAGTCTTAGCTCCATGCAGTTACTGCTTCAGCTGTAGCACACAACTCGACCTTCTCTAGTCCAGCTGCAGGTCACTCTGGAGTAAAGCTGCTCCCACCAGAGCACACTGCAGTGTTGTACAGCCACTACACGATCCCAGCACAGACAATTAGAAATGCATGTCTCTCTGAGAAGTGTGCAGCTACCTGTCCTGCCTGCAAAGCAAGTCCCAGAGGACTCTGTGCACAACAGCCAGCACAAGGAGCTCCCCCCAGGACCTTACAGCCACTGCTGCTGCTCTCTCCCTGCAAGCCTGAACTGAGCTGAGGTGCTGCAGTAACTAAAACAGCAGACATCCCTCCTTTTTCTCCTGCTTGGCTTGTTCAGTGATATCTAGTGCATGTGCTACTCCTGCCACTTTGATACTGCCCATTGGATCTGCAGGAAGAGATCCCTCCTCTTTGCAGAGCAGGTATCTCCTGCCCCTGACCTAAGGCAACACATTTCCTGTGTTTCCTGACCATCCTGTCATGGATACACTGAGTTAGGGCTGCTAAAATGCTGTCTTTCTGCACACGAGATGAATTAAAAGATGTAACAGGGTCATAGGGATCTATCTCTGCTTAAAAGACAAAAATGTGCAGGCTCTGTGTACAGACAAACATCGTATTCTGGCTTTGTCTGAGTGCAGGATATTTCACCACCTGCTCCTCAAAATCAGTTCCAGCATACATACAAGTGAGGACAGTTGCAAATTGAGCAAAACATGCTGCAATTTCCTAGAGATCAGCCCAGAGCTCTGTGTAATGACAGCACGTGGTCCCCAGCTAAACTTCCCTTTCCAGAATTGAATTTCTCCTCACTCAACACCTGGTATTCATTTCCAAAGGTTATTCACCCTACCTAATTATTTCCATCTTCTTATTCTTCACAGCTCTTAGTTCATCTTTAATAAGGATTTTTAATCAAACTTGAAAGCTTATTCCTCCATGCTGTACAGTTCCCCCATTCCCAATAACGTTATTGCAGCAGTGCTGCTTTGATCTTTTAACAGCCATTTTGCATACTGAGTATCAGCTTTGCCCTAATGGCACAGACATCTCTGAAAGCTCCAGGAGAATTCAGCAGGGAATCCTTACATTGATAAACCCAGTTTAGTATTCACATTAGTACTGAGGCAGCCACAAGAAAAGAAGGAAAAGAAAAATTCTTACGCTTTCCTCCTTCCTGCTCCCTCTACACCTTTCACTAATAAATTTGTGCATGGACTTAATGCTCATGAAATTGGCTGGCTAATGTTACCAATTAGAGTCAAGCAGGGACTACAAGTGTAACCTGAGGCACACAGCTCTGCAAACAAATCTTAGCCTGCCTTGCAGGAGGCTGGCTTAGACCAGTCCCATGATTTTTGCAGGATATTTACTTGTCATGAATGATGACTTAGTGCTAAGCAGAAATATCCTGCTGGGGCTGGAATGACATTGCTATCTGCTTTAGGTATAGTCAACCCTGCCTTAAAGGTGGACCAGACTAAGGTGTCTTGGTCTGGGTACCAGGGGTGGCTGATGGCCCACAGAGCACAAAAGGAGTGTCAGAGGATTAATACATTTGGAAATCTGCCACACAGGAAAACGTCCATGTATATGGGCATATTAGCGACCAAAAAATTTGAAAGTAGGAAGGAGCATAAAAGATGACTTCATTAGCACTGCAAAGAGTGTCCTGTGGATTTGTCTTTGGTAGGTGCATTTTCCTTTGGTTACAAGGAAAGAGAAGAGACAAAGAGAGAAGAGAGACAGAGAAACCAGTCGAAGTTCCTTTCAACAAACCTACCACCACAGACATCTGCAACACTAGCTCCTAGAAACTTTGAACATCACAACCTTCCTGCAGGGATCTGCTCATATTTCCAGCACTGCCTGACACCTAGATGCAGAAGATTGTGCCTATGGTTTGGGTGATTTTGAATGAATATGAAATGAATATCTTGACAGGCATCGCTTGTCCTTCTACTCTCATTCCAGAAAAAAAAGTTTTGACTGCAAGGAATTTTAAATGCTGCAGGGGAAAAAAAAAATTACATCCAAAATGAAGAACTTCCAGCACTCCATGGGCAACCCCAGCCAGTTCTAAATGTATGACCTGCTGACTCGCAAGGCCATCGGCACAGGGGAAAGTCCAGTGGGAAGCATTCACCACCAGCAACTGCCCATGCTGAAGGGGAGAAGGGTTCTGAACAGCATTTAAAGTGCAAGAAAAGAAATGAGACATAAGAGGGACATGGGCCTGGTGAAGCAAGCCCAAAGGAGGGCCATAAAGATGATCAGAGAGATGAAGCACCTCTGCTATGAGGAAAGGTTGATAAAATTGGGGTTGTCCAGCCTGGAGAAGGAAAGGCTCCAAGGAGAGCTTTGCACACAGCCTTCCAGTACCTAGAGGCCTACAAGAAAGCTGGAGATGGACTTTTTACAAGGGCATGTAGTGACAGGACATAGAGGGAATGGCTTTAAACTGAAAGAGAGTAGGTTTAGGTTGAATATTAGGAAGCAATTCTTTACTGTGAGGGTGGCGAGGCACTGGCACAGGGTGCCACAGAGAAGTTGTGGATGCCCCATCCACAACTGTGTTCAAGGCCAGGTTGGATGGGGCATTGAGCAAACTGGTCTACTGGAAGATGTCCCTGACTATGGCAAGGGAGTTGAAATGAAATGATTCTTGAAGTTCCTTCCAACCCAAGCTGTTCTATGATTTTATTATATGCAGGAAGTTGTAATCCAGAAAGAGAACAAGGCTTGCTGAAAACTCAAAGACCACTGGCAGCAGCAGACTGATCCTGCGCAATGGCTATGGCAGAACTCCCTGGATGTCTGAGCTTCAGGATCAGAAATCAATGTCTGAGAGCTCGGAGCCTTCCCTCATGTCCATGACTGTTTTATAGACAGATGCCCACCCCAGGAGGGCTGAACTTCTCTCTGGATGGGCATTTCCCTCCACTGCTCATAGAAGGTATCTTAGAGGGCACCATTCCAGTGCAGGAACTACTAACAGACCCCAGGGTTCTGTCACTTCTCGGGACTGAAGTCAGTCATCCCAGCTGGATGAAAGATCTACCTGCTTTTATTCCGATTAAAGGCAGGATGTAAGGAAAGGCCTGCCCTGAGTGCAGATGTCAGGGAAGAGCAATTCCTCAGCCTCTCCCTTCAGGCTCTTGGCTCGTCCTGCCCGGCTGAGGGGCTATACCTGAAATGGGTTTGGTGACAGCAGACAGATCCTCTCATCAAATCTGATATTCACTGAAACAAAGCTCACTGGTCATTAGTGTTGTGAAAGAGTAACAAAATATTCAACCTGAATTATCTTTTCAAGGTGCTTAACAGGGTGGAAACAAGTCAGGTTGTATGAAGCTTTCATTTCTCTCCTGGGCTCTGTCTCTGATTACACAGATATTGCTCAAAGACCTTGGAGAAAGGGTTGAATAAACTAGAGCACCACCTTTTTATGAAGAAATGCAGGAAGGTTTGAGGGAAAGTTGAGGATTACCATGTTTTCAGTCCTCAAGTTAGGGCCCCTGATTTTCAGGGGAAGAGTGCTGAGTATTTTTTAAACAACATTCCCCTTTTAGATGCCCCAAGTTAAAAACCTAGCAACTGAAGCTCTCAAGAGCTGTATGCCACTTTGGAAAATACAGGATCTCAAGTTCCAAGTGCCAAGGTGATGGATGTCTTTCATGACAAGGAGCAGCAGAGCTGAGGAGTGGAAGGGAGGTTGGTTGCAGAGCTGACAGCTGGAGAGCTGGAGATCTGATATCTAGTTCCAAATTCAGCCAGCCTGGACTGCCAGTAACCACCTCTATGAGAGTCTTTGTGACTTGCCCACAGGCCTGCCTTACCCATCACAAATCTTCTTGATTTTTTGTTTAAGCTGCTCTCCTTGATAGAAGATAATGAACACGTTCTTCTTCACCTCTTCTCTCTGCAACACACAGTTCAAGCAGAATTTAACACACCCCTGGTCTGGTGCAGAAAAGCTGGTATCCTTTTTTTTTTTTGCAGCCTCTCCACTGGTTGCTTTTATCCCCCATCCCCAGATTCCCACCAGCAGTGTTTTCCCCACGTGCTCTTTCAGGAAACAGGCATGGGCAGCAGCTCTGGGTTATGGGGGAAGGAGTGATGTGGAGCAGAGGGGACAGAGTTCCACTGGGGCATGGGGCTCACCCCAGAGACACCAAGGGGAATTGACCCTCCATGGCTAACTCCAGGTGGGCACAGCCACAGTCCACTTCCATGGTGGTCCCTGTAATACAGCAGCCCTGTGAGGCCTCCTGGGCCTCCTGACAGGCAGGAAAAGGAAACCACCTCAACAGTAGCAAATGGGGAAAGCAAAGTCAAATAAACATCTCCCATCCTCAAACCATCCCACCTTTCCCCTCTCTCATCTCACCCCTGAGGGTGCCTGCCCTCAGACACTGAGCTCTGGAGAGGCAGCCAGTGCTGCAGCATGGCCCAGCTCACCAGTGCTGTGTCTGCAGGTCACAAGTACCCACACAGGGCAGAGGAAAGCAAGCCAGGTTGGTACCTACTGTCACAGGGTCCTCCATGGGGGTGTCCATTTCTGTGTATCTCAGGTAGATGTTTCCCCTGCAGGCTCGCCACAGTAAACGCTCAAAGGGGATCATCCTCTCCCTCTTTATTACCCCTGCTGTGAATCTGAGCAGAGTTACAAGATAAATAAATTACAAGCCCATTCTATGCCTTTTAGGACCTGTAGCACACAGGAGCCCTTGTTCTCTAGTCTGTGCTAGCCAGGGCTCTGCTGCTGCTGCAGGCACTCCTAGAAAAACCTTCCTTGCTCAAGCCTGGCTTTTATCTCAATCTACTGGCTTTATCCTATTGTTCTTTCTTTAAAGAAAACTTTCCTAGATCAGCAGGTGAAGGTGAAGAGACAATTCTGGCTTGAGATGCAAGAACGGAGAGATGCCTAAAGTCACACAAATGAGACTGCTTGAATGGCACAGGCAGGAGGTGGAAATTTTGAAGTGGTGGTTTATCTTTATTCTCCTGTTTTCCTTTTCTGAGAAAGCATCAGACTGCAGCCCAGTGCAATACCATGGCTTTTTCTGTGGTTAGACATCCATCCACAAGGACCAGGCTGGTAGCCAGATGCCTGAGTCCAGAAGTCATGGGTGAGATGTCTCAAGATAACAATTTTCAGTCAATACCTACTGAAGGATCACTGGAATTGGTGGTCTGTAAGTAGAGGTCCATTTGTCCCACTGACCCATAACCTGACCAGAGTTTTGATGATAATTTCTGAGGACATTCACTCTCTTATAGTCATGAAACAGCTGTGCAGAGGAGGCTGGTGAGCACTCTCTGCTAAGAAGCTGAAGGAAGCTGTGCCAGTGCCACAGCAATGCAGCACAGGTGGAAAAGTCATCACCAATACACACCCCAGCTTGGCAGCTGTAGCAGCAGGAGTGCTTCTCAGCTCCAGCAATCCAGATGTGTCTTCACTGAAGAAGTCATCTGGCAGATTGGTTTCTGCCTGGAAAACACCAGTTTTAAAAAACACTCTTCAGCATTGCCAGTTTGGAAACTATTTTCACATTTTTTCTCTTAATGATTTTTCCCCAAAGGTAGCTTTCCACAGAGATTTAGACTGAAGGAAAAACAATAAAAGTAAGCTATATCTTAGCAATGGAAAAACATAAATGGTATTTTCAAAGAGATCTGTGAGCTAAGTTTTTGAGCCCCACTGACTCACGGAGCAATGCAGACTCCAAAGTCACTGAGGTGTTTTTGCAAACCTCATAATGGCTAGTGGTAAAGACCTCTAAAAGCAACATACACCAAATGAAAGTGCAAGTATTTTTAAGAACCTTTCACATCTCTGTTGGAAGAGCCTCTCACCTCGAAGAAGTCCTGGGTTTTCTTCAGCAGATGTTTGAGCTCTGTCAACTCAAGGAAGTTTTGCTTCAGTGTTTGCTGGTTCTGGTTGGCTTCCAGCAACTCAGCTTCAAGTTTCTCCAGTACTGTCTGTTTAGGGTCCAAGCACATCCAGAAAAACTCTGAAGCAGATCAGTGGCTCTTTCCCAAGCTGATACCAAATCTCAAAAAACAATTTTTATTTTTTTTTTCCAAGGGAGAATACAGAAGCGTTCAACAAACACTTAAATAAACACTTTTTGTAGGAAGATATTCATCAATGCCAATGCATCATTTTTCCATTGCAAACAATCCCTGATGGGTGTGTTGTTCTCTTCTGGCATTGAAGTTCTGATGCCCCTGACCCAAGCACAGGCAAGTAGGTGTGTGTGTGTGTGGTGTAGTTGTCTCAGCCTGCCTGGGTACCTCTGTGGTTCCTCAAGACATCTCACACCCCAGGCTGACTGGCTGTCAGCTTACTGACTACAAAAGAAACCTACATTGGTTTAGGTTCCTTAGCTATAGGCCAAAAATTAGGTGATGACATGAGACCAGGAACACACCAGGAAACCAAATTGCTTGTGAAGCTGAAGCCCTTGGAAAGCCTGATTTTCCTTTCTGGTCACCTACATACGAAGCATTTTAAAATTACCCTGTCAGTAAACTGCTCTTCCAGCTGGGCTAGAATAAAGCATCCCTTGCACATCCAAAAGTGAGGCCCAAGTATTTGTGTCAGGCCCCAGTATCACAACCCAGCAGGACAGGCAGTCATGGGTTTTTTATGCAGTGAAGTGGGTTCTAACATCAGGTCTCTTAGTAAAACACCAAAACCTTCTTATTCTCTCCCATAGGATGATGGGGGCATTCTGTGAAAGCAATATTTTTCATTAATATGTGGGACCAGAGGGATGTTTCACAGGGGATGGTAAAAAGCCTGGGCTCCTTTAGGAACATGCAACAGGACCAGCCTCAACCCAAGTGCTGAGGCAGCAACTTGGGGAGCACCTCCCTGGGCAGGGAGAGTTGTGCCAGCCTCAGGCACCAGATTCCTCCTTGCAGGGAGGGCTCTACTGAGCACATTACACAGACAGCCTGCTGCACAGCCCTTCTCTCCCCTGGCTCCACTCCAAGTTCTGTACCTCCATATCAATCATTTCCCGAGGTAGGGGGGTCTCTGGGTACTTTTCTCCTTGGACTATCTCAACATTCTCTTCCATCTCATTTTCCAGAAAGCCTGCAAGGAGAGGGCACAGAAGTCTCAGCACAGAATCATCCCTGGTGCATCATCCTGGTCACCAGCTTGTTGCTCAGCCAGGGCCAAGGCATCCCGTGGAGGTGTGACAAGATTAAGTGATGTACAAGGGCCATCACCCCAGTGCATATACACAGCCACCAAGGAATGAACACCCCCAGCCCCCTTTCTCAGTGGAGATGCTGTTTCTTCTGAAGTCACCGTACCCACTCCCTGCAGGCACAAGTGGTCCCCTTTATCTGGGGCAATGAATAAGGCATGCAGAAAGCTCGGGTTCCACTGCTTCCCCACCAGTGCCAAGAGCTGCAACCATGGCTATAGCGGTAGGGAGAGTGCAGAGCTCCCAGGATACACATCCACAGGACAGTGGGAATCACAAGCTCCGCCGCTTGGGTTTTAAGGACTTATCCCAAGGCTGAAGCCCTTGGCCGCAAGAAGTGTGTGCCAACAGCTGGTGCACTGGTATAAGAGTCAGGTTATCTGGACCAGCCTCCTGCCCAGCCCCAGATTTATCTTGTGATTTTATAAATGCTAATTAACCTCCTTTCAGTTCAGTTAACCATTTTCAAAACAGGGGCAACAATTTATTGCCCATATGGGGTGAAGTGGTAATTAGCTGACGCATGGAAAACATTTCCAGGGGCTCAGATGAAAACATCACCATTTTGTCACTAATTCTGCTCCCCAGTGTGAGAGCACTTAAAGAAATAAATCCCACACCACAGTTGGCAGGAAGCCGATTGCATTTGACAAGCGTTTACTTACGCAGGATTCTCTCCAAGGATTCGCACCTCCTCACTTCATTCACAAACTTTCTCTGGAAGCTGTTGACATTCACATTCAGCTAAAAAACAGGAGGGAAAACAAGCCTGGGGCTGAAGGCTGCACAGTGCTGCGCTCATTTTTAACATCAGTGGAGAACCTGTGCCTTTGGTGCAGATGGCAAACACCATTGTGTCTGAGAGGGTCCTGCTGGCAGGACAATGCCTCATGGCCTAGGACCTGGTGGTCTCCCACACAACCTGGCTGTGACAGCAGGAGTCACACAGGGCCTTCATGGAGACACTTCCTGTGTCCTGGCGATGCAAGGGATTGTTCTAAGGCTGTGCAGAGGGCATGCAGAGCACTGGATGGGGACTCAGGGGTGGGTGGGGTCTTGGCATGATGTTTGGGTTTCAGAGCAGCCCCGCTCCCACCGTGGACTTTTTGGCCTCCCTACAGGTGCATCTTTCCCCAAGAGCTTTGAAGGAAGGACAAGCACACCCTGGGGCACATCTCCAACAGCTCAGCATGCCAGCCAGGCACTACTCACATCTCTGAACTGGACCAGCCCCAGCTCCCCGAGCTCAGCCACGCAGCAGTAGGCAGCCTCCACCTGCAGGAAGAGCTGCCTCAGGCTCATCTCCTCGCTCCGGAAGACAGAGACCATCTCATCCGTTCTTCTCTGGCCTGGAAGGCCCTGGGAGTCTTTGTGGTAGCAGCACCTTCTTCCTTGCCCAGGCAGGAAGGAGCCAAGCTCTGCAGGAACATTGGAGGTCACTGAGTGAAAGTGCTGGAAGATAACCCAGTGCTGCCCATCACGTCCTCCAAAAGGGTTTCTTCACCTTCTAAGAGCCTCCTTGAACCCACATGAGGCTTCATCCCACCAGAGCAGTGATAGATGCTGAAGTATGTGTGCCACAGGGAAAGGGGAGGGTCACCAGTCTCCTGTGACAAATGAGCAAACACCCTGCCCTGTCCTCTGCTGGACCTAAGCACTTCAGACCACTGCACTCAGGCTCTGTATTTTGCTTTTGGATGCTGTGATTGGAAAGAACTTGATTTGTCTTTGCCTTAAACACACAGACAAAAAATAAACAAACAAAAAAAAAACCAACAAAAAAACCCCAAATAATTTCACCTTGCAATTAAAGTGAAAGAGGTCTGACTGTTTTTTTATCAGTTTCATTGATAGTGTGAACATTGCAAACCCATCTGGAGCATGTTACATGGGTGAGGGGAGAAGAGCAGACTTTTCTTTCAATGAAAACTAACTTCAAGTTTTCAAAAGAATTTTCTCCCCATAATGTATAAGGGACTGTTTTCAAAATGAGATAAATGAAATAACATGCATTGCACAAAATTTCCTGTCATCTCTATGCTTATTATTATTTACTTTGAATAACCTGAATATAGAAATTGTCTTTAGTTTTTCTCACACAAAATTAACTGATCAGCATGCACAAACACCATAATTACCTTTTTCCAGAGAAAAACATGCAAGTAGATACACTTCTTGCATGCATTTAATTCTGTAGCAAGCCTATGCTTTATAAATAGCAAAACAAAATCCTTTAATCACCTCACTTCTTGTTGACAAGGGTAGCAAGTCAATTGTGCTTAACCCCCTCTGTCTCTATGACCCTTGTCTTTCAGTATTTTTTTATAAATTGTGGCTCCTATGAATTCTCTTTATAACGTCCAGAAGATTAATCTTTAATATAAGAGAAGCATTTCACAAGATATTAAAGGCTTGTTTAACAGGAGCATGGTAGTCACAGGTCTGTATTTGCTCAAATGTCCTGGGAATTTTCCTTCTCCTATTCTCTGTACCCATTCACTCAAAAATTTAAAATGCTGAAAATACAATATATAATAACTAATATCTTGTTTAAAGAAAACACCATGTGTCAGCTTAAATGGATTAAGTACATACATTTTAAATTTAGTTGGACATTTCTCAGCAAACTGTATTTTTCACAGGAAAAAAAGACAAAAAGTTGCAAGAGATTCATTACTCAGGAAAGTAAATCTGCAGTAAGTGAATCAAAAAGTTTAAGAGATCATCAAAGTGTCCAATCCTAATTTATTTAGACTGAAAAGTATGAAGAAACTATAATCTAAAGCAGCTTGTATTTCTGAACCTGCAGTTAGCTTCCATCAAAAAAGTGCTAAATCCTTAGAAGCAATAGAACAAAACTCAAATAAAATATTTACAAGTATCTTAATTAAGCTGCTTCAAACCATCCAAAGTCAGGGTTCTACTCTTCCTTGGTAATCTGTCAGGAAAAATTCCAAAAGCTCACTTTCCTATTGCTTTGGAATGACAGAAATACCTACTCCAAGGAAGGCAGAGCTTTCAGCCCTCAGCTATTCCTACAGACGCAGGAGGCTTGTCCAAAAGCACCTGCTGGCCACCAGTACTTCTGTCAGCATCACCCCCCACCCGCCCGTCCCTACTCTCCCTCGCCCCCAGTTTTGGCTTTGGCAGAAAAAGCGAGTTGAGAATTGCCTGCCGTTCCCCATCGGAGCGGGTTAAAGCGGGCCGGCTCCGGGCGGGTCCCGGAGGGCTCAGGAGGTGTCACCGGGCTTTACCTGCGAGCACCGCGCTCCTTTCCGCGGCCTCTCCCGGCCACCGACCGGCGTCCCCCGGCGTCCCTCCCTCCGCAGGTGGCGGGGACAGCAGCGCACGATGGCCCGTGCCACACGGGACACGGGACACACCTTTGCTTTTAAGGTCAGAACTGGTCTGGACCAGCGGAGGGAAAGCCTTTCTGTCCCCGAACAGCCCCCGGGCGGATGGGACCGAAGGCTTTGTGGCTCGGTCACGCCGCCGTGCCCGGTGTTGTGGCAGCAGGCGGCTTGTTGGGACTGACAACAGAGGGGACAAGCTGGCTGTCACCACCCCCGGGCACCCGAGGGACCGGCCGTGCGCCCAGCGCTGCCCCGCATTTGCGAGCTCCGGATGGAGGCTCAGCCGCCGGGCGGGTGGAAAAAACTCCTGCTCGGCTCCTCAGCGGATTTTCCTCGCTGAAGGCAGTCTGGGGAGCACAGGGAAACAATGGGAGATTAATGATTTTCCTGGCGCAGGGGCAGAGCGATGGAGCAGGGACAGGGCTGGGAGGGCAGGGGCTCTGCTGAGCAGGGGCAGTGCTGACAGGGAACTCGATTCCCACCCCTTGACATAACAAATACTGGGGGGAAGGGGGCTATATAGATGCTCTGCCACTTCAGCCGCTAAAACAAGGGTTCCAGAGAGGAGTTTGGCCCCTCATAAAACCAAAGGCTTATCTCCTGCTGATGAGGCGGGGTTTCACCGTGTAATAAATGGAACTGATTCGTGCTGACTAAATTGCAACTATTTGGAAAGATATTATTAGAAGCAATCAAGAGAATCAGTGTTACAAGGCAGATGTACCCCTTTAGAGATGCTACATGCTAAAACTGAGGTACAGGATGTGCTTTAGAGATAAGTGATGTCCTGAGAGGAAATCGACCTTGAGATGGACAAAGTTGGAACAACTTTAGGCAATGGGCCTAAAATTCATTAAATGTAGGATTAATTAGTAGACTTACATAACACAATGCCTAATACGCACGTGCAAACCTGTGAGCCCATCCAGAGGACAGCGAGGATGAGTGTAAGCCTTCATCCAAAGACCACCAAAAGAAGACTGGAGACCCCCTAACAACAAGTGAAGCATGCACCACAAGGAATAGTGACGTAAAGTCAAAAAATCAGAAATAGGAGGAAACTTACAGGAAACATTAATGAATATGTATATATGCACACAGTATATAAGTTTAGTTTGAATTGTTTTGTTTTGTATGTGAGGCAGGGTAGGAAGCCCCCTCCGTACCCTGCTCGGTTTTGCTTGTGTTTTAATCATACTTAATTACTGGCAAATTACATATATAAATTGTATTTTTTATTAAATGGTATTCTTTTACTAAATTGTATTCTTTTACTGGCAAATTTTTAATTAAACTGCTGTTAACTCAAGGGACCTACTTGTCAAAATTCTAATTCCATTTATAACAACCCTGATGAAAAAGGCTGTCTGGGACGCTACTAAATCTAGCACTCAGAAGAAAAATTTCCTCTCAAAAGAAGAACTAACGAAAATGCACGGCTATATGCAAATTGTGAAGTACCCTTAAAGAAATCCTTTCTCAGACCTGTTCTTTTGGAGGTACCCAGGAACCCTGGCCCAAGCCAAAGGGTTTAGTTAGTCCATGGGAGCACTGGCAAAATACAAGCAACAGCAGAGGGTTTTCAGTTCAAAAGCAACAGTGTTCCCCCACTTCACAAGGTCAGCTTGGTGAGAAGGGTCCTGCTGCTTGCTCAAGTCCGGCTGTCTCAAGCTAGGTGACCCAAAAAGGAGATATTAAAAATTACAAGGAAATTTTAACAGGTGGGCCTAGCAAACCACCCAGATGAACTGGCTGTGGGGCTCCCTGGGCTCCCACCCTCTTTGGCTGCACTGTGCTTCTCCTGGACCAGCCACAGTCAGCTCTGCTTTCTCTGCCAGAGCCACCAAAGCAAGGGATTAAAGGCTGATGAAAGTCAGCACCCTCTTCTGGGAAACTGGAAATTTCCTTGATAAGGCAGATGTGAAGTCACTGCCACTGACCACGTGAATGCCATGCAGGGCTGTGGAGATGCTGGTGCGGCAAAGGAAGGACTTTGCCTTCCAACCCATGCAGTGGTACTAAACAACAGGAGTCATCATTCAGCTCCAAGCTGGTGCATATTGCCAAAACAAAATGAAGCAGCCTCTCAGGCTACTCCTCTCACCTCTGAACCACAGCACATTCTTCCCCCTGTGTGCATTTAATGACACCAGGCTTTGCTTCCTCTTTGCTCCTTTGCTGCTCCTACTCAGCCCCCCAGTTACTCTCAGCTACTCCCCAAAAAGCTTTTGGGACTGGGGGAGCGAAAAGGGCCCCCAAACCACACTTCATCACCAAAGCAAGCTGCACTAAGCTGGCTGCTCCATCCTGTTAAGCCAGGGAGTGAGCCAAGGAGTGAGGAGGGCAGCTGCCTCTGCTGCCCTCCCCCCACCCTTCTGGGGTGAGAAGCAGAGAGGAGAGAAGAAGAAAGCATATCATAATTCCATGCCTTCTGGCATGTGGAAGTAAGAATATTATTTTATAATAATCCTATTAATGCAAGATGAGCTGACGCTGGTTGGCCATGAGGCAGCAATTGGAGAAGCCCCGTCAGTGGGCTCTTTGTTGGTGCAGGCAGCTCTGCGTGGGCGAGCTGAAGGCAGCCTTTCTCCCAGCCCTTCACTGCCTGCCTGGTCTCCAGCCCTCTCTCTGAGGTCTCCAGATGAACAGCCTGGGGTCACAAGCAGGGCCACAGGCTCAACATTTTTATAATACCAACCCCAGCCTGGACTGGAAAACACAAAGGGCAGGGTTGTGCAGTTTTCCAAAGTGCTAGACTTGCTTTCCTCTGTGTGACAGAAAGCACATCCCCTCTCCCCTTCTTTCATTTAAAAAGCAAAACCTTAGTGGTTTTGACTTTTTTTTTCTCTGAGTTTTAACAATCAACCCCCTTGTTCACAGGTAGCTTTAGCTTAGCTTTTTTTCACATCAATGAAGACAGCAAAGAAATTTGCCCCCTCCCTGATGGACACACTATTGGCAGCAAGCTTAAGATTTTGAGCTTTTTTTTGCAGCAGCAATCAGACTTCATTTGGAATTAAAAATATAAACCAGTTTCCTATAAAACAGAATATATATATATATATATACACACAAAGTGAGTGTGTGTCTGTGTGTGTGATAATGGTAATAACTTTCTGAGAGCCACACCTGGTGATGTGTCAAGAGCAATACACTTTGGTCACCAGGCAGTCTTAGCCATGAAGCTCTCTGTGGCACAAAATCTACTGAACAGTAAATATTGCCTCCTTCATAACCATCAGGGAAAGCTGCCCAGCAGCTCTACACGCTGTGGAAGAATCTCCAAGAGGAGAGCTGAGGAAGCACCTAATTTTAGAGTAAACAGTCTTGTCTTGAGAGCTGCATATGAAAATGGGAGCCCAGGGAAAAGAATCACCATCTCTGCAGGGCCTGCGGTTGTGCCTTGTGCCAGGGCACCCTCGTGGAGGGAGCTGAAATTCGGGGAAGGCTCTGGAGCAGTTATCACTCTTTGGGCAGCCACAGCACTGAAATGTAAACGTGTTACAAAGAAGAAATGAAACAAATCCAAATCTGCGTCAGGAAACGATTTTGCAGGGCTCCCATTGTGTCTGAACTTATCAAGCAAAGCCTTCATTTCCAACCTGATCCAAAAATCACTGAAGCCAAGCGCAGCCTGTTCGCTGCTTCAGGAGACTTTGGAGCAGCCCTTTCTGAACTGCTGAGGGAACACGTTTTGGAAAGGAAAAGAAACACATTATGTTAATTGTGCAAATACATTTTCAGCGTCCCTTACAAATGGGGACATTTGCCTACAAGCCAACAAAGAATGTTTAGTTAATAGTTAAAATTCAAGAGATTTCATTAAAAATTGAATCATTCATGCAATAGCAGAGCAATTTTGTATTTTTGTTCCCCCTTAAGCATTTTGTGCTGCACAGAACACTTTTGAATTAATTTACTTTTACAAAATTAATTGCCAGGTCAATTTTCAGTGGGAATAGAAGGTGAGAAATTCAGAAGGGAAAGGTGAATCTGGCAGACAGCAGAAGGCCTTTCCCACTTAAAGAGTTGAGGTTTAGTTTTGATGCAACAGGTAGCTCAGAAAAGAGCACAAATTAAAGACAACCTCCACAAAGGGACAGAGACTCTGAAATGAGCCAGAGGTGGTGATTATGCCAGAGGTGAATTTCAAGCAGCTCTGAGCATTTTGCAGCATTTCTCCTGCCGTGACTACCGAGGCCAAGAGCGGTGGCTGCTGGGGTCACCTCCCTGGCCCGGCTGCCAGCGCAGCACACCTCACCTCGTGTCACACCTTGGGTGCCAGCTGAAGGACAGGAGGACGGGGCTGTGCATCCCAGCAGCAGCAGGAGGTGGCTGTCACGGACCAGCCAGCACAGCCCCAACTCCGCCAGCACTGGTGGCGTGTTGACATGAAAGCAGGGAGACAGGGTGGGTAAACACGCCCGTCTCAGCTGACCTGCCTCCACCTGCAGCTCAGCGTGCCCTCTGGCTGCCTTGTCCCGATGCTTCGTGGAAATATTCACAGCTGGCTGGAAGCAGAGCATTTTTGGTGGCCAGGACAAGTGGGTTCACCCCACAGAAACACTGGGCAGGGCTAAGCCTATGTGGGTTTTGCTGTGAAGGTTTTTCTTAAATGAAGGGAGACCCAATCAAACTCATAGGTTTGCAGAGCTGTACCCTGGCGTGTGCCATTCATGTGGGAAGCCTGTTATGTCCTTCCCTGTGGGTTTCAGCTGTGTGGAAGGGAAAAGAGAGAAAATAGTTAAATGCTTTCCATCCCACAAGGATGCTGCCCCACATGCCTTGTCTTGTCCTCCCCTAAGATGTCTGCAAATCCACAGCAGACAGGTCCCTTCTAAGATGAGCACCCAAAGCCACCAGTGACCATTGCAGAAGTGCACCAGCAACCTGCTCCCTGCAGTGCTCACCTCTCCCAGTGCCTTCTTGCCTGATTTAATGTCTGATGCTTTCTCTAACAAGGACATCATCACGTCAAAGACAGGAGCAAGCAGCCAACAGCCTGGGGAAGAACAGCAATGTGTGCTGCTCATCAGACCAGGATAATACCACATGCACTTCAACAATGTGGCTTTTCCAGCCAGGATTGCAGAAAAGCCCCTGCTCTCCGGTGAGCATCATTTTTCTATCAACCCTCCTGGTCTACAGAGCTATGCTTGCGGAAAGGCTCAGCTTCTGGCTCTGCACATCTCAAGTGGGAGATGCAACAACCACCAGAGACAAAAGAACATCTTTTCCAGAATCACTTTTGTTGGTGCAGGCAGGGAGAGAGCTATGCTCACAGGGAAAGAACAGCAGCAGACCTAAGGCTGCTGTTTTTTGGGAGTCCACACAGCTATTCCAAAACCATCACTGCCGAAGTCAAGCCAGTGAACATGCAAAAAAAAAATAGCTAAACTGGGAGACAAAGTCTCTGCTCCAATCCTCTACTCTTTTCCAGCTCTATTAAACCCTCTTCATAAGACCAAAAAGAGACTCAAAAAACAGAAGCTATCTGGGACACTGTTGGGAAGGGCTGGCTCTGGAGGCCTTTCCTCCTTCCAGCTGCAGCATATCCTGGGGAGAAACCTTCAGGAGCCACCTCCTGGTATCCACCTCCCACTGAAGCTGTTTTGTTTTTGGTCAGAGCCTTTCTCTTTCCTCACCTGGTTGTTGCAGGAAAGTTCAAGGTGTCCTGGCAGCAGGAAGCTCCCTTGCTCCACCCTCTACCCAGCACAGCTCTCCCTGAGCTCACCGAGGATTTGCTGCACCAGACCTGCCAGCGACAGCGACCTGCTGTGTGTGGACACCCGGGTGGGAGCGGGACCCCCGGCATGAAGCACCTCTCCTGTGAGCCCTGGGCAGCCCTCGCTGTGCTCCTCCTCACCGCTGCCCTCTGGGATTCCTGCTCAGCAGGTATTTCTCTTCTCTTACGCTCCAGTTTTGATACCCTGCCCTTTCCCCCCACTCCTCTCAATACCTATGAGTATTGCCCACCGACAGCAATTTGTTCTTTAAAAATGAAGGGGCAATCCTTGCTTCACCTAAAAAGTATAAAGAGCTGGAATTAATTGATGCTAATGAGAATTACCAGACATGACTGATCACAGCATCACTGTAAAGGGATGTTCTTTTGCCAGCTATTTACAGAGCCACTGTAAATGTGACAGAGTTGCAGGTTGCTCCACTGAACAGCAAGGAGACGGGAAACACTTGGCCTTCTCCTGCTTGCTGAGGCAAAGGACCACCTGCAATACCACCCATTAGGATCACTGTAGCCCGATTTAGCTTTCATTACAAGCTTTTTGCAGAAAACGTGGCTTTGGTACCACCTTAATTGCAGAAGTTGCCTGAAACCAAAATGTAAATGAGACCTGTGAGCTGCTCCTTTCCCACCACCAGGCTACTGCCTGCATTTGTGTATCAGCACCAGATGAGACCTGCCAGCTGTTTAAAGATGGGCTGGCTTTGACAGCCTGTTCTTTGGGCTGTGGGATCTATAAACACAAACCAGCACTCGGCATTCCGCAGTACTTCCTTCCACAGGTCACACACAGGTTTTAATGATTCCTCCCAGTGCTTCTGGGAGCTATTTATTAACTGAAAAAACAAGCTGTGGGCTTGGCCAAGGTCATTCTGCTAATCTTACGGGAGTCAGACAGAAGAGTGGGGAATACTCAGACCCTTCCCTGAAGCAGGTTTCCCAGGGGCTCATTCTGAGCACGGCAGATGCCACAGGCAAAGCTCTGGTGTTGCTGATGGTGGGTCAGCTCAAAACACAGAGCCAGGCAGCAGCAGGTGACCCCCAGGGCAACATGTCCCACAGGACAACTTCAGTTTACTTGCTGTTACTTGGAAAACATCAAACTCAAAGCAAATCTTTGGCCAAACATCTCATTCTGTTTTGTTTTCCTCAGCTGAAACTAATCCTGAGCTATTATTTTACAGTCTTCGGTGAAATCAAGCTGGAGCTGATTTTCTCTATTACATTTCAAATTACCAGCTCAGAGTGATGGCTTGACTGGAAATAATTCTCCCATAGCTTCTGCCTGGTCTGTGGACCAGTAGCACATTAGAGCTTCTCCTCAGGAAATTTTTCATCTCTGTGCAGGGAATACTCTACCCAGCTGAACTTGAACTGTGCTGCAGTAATCCCTCCCTTCTGCAGCAGGGGACAGACAGGCGCTGGTGCCCAGGGAGCAGTGCAGCTTGTGCTTTTACCCCTGCAGGCATCCTGCAGCTGTCCTGGTTTGAGGGAGCACGCTGAGGCTGAGGGGCAAGGCAGTATCAGGAGGAATAAGGAGGGTTTGGCCTGTGACACCAAGTGCAGATTTGGAGAGCTGGACACGAGCCATGGAGTTGTGTCAGAGTGTGTGTGTGTGTGTGTGCTGATTGTGTGTAGGAAGCAGGAAAAAGGCAAAACCTTCATCAGAGCTCCAGACCTCTCCCTCATGAGTTACTTATGCATGTTGTATTTTCCAGCCTGAGCTGGTTACCACGTTGGTGTGAACTGGAGTCCAGCCAGAGCAGTTTCAGATGCCCTGACCTGCAGCAAAGCCAAAGCTCTTCACTGGGGCCTTGGTGGACCTGCTGAGGCTCCGCAAAGGTGGGCTCAGCCCTCGGCTCTGCCAGACTCCTGCACACCCTGGGATTTTTCCAAGGGCAAAAGGAGGCAGAGGAACAGCCTGCTGGCCATGGATCTCTCCATGCCACTGCACGTGTCTCCCACTTGCGTGCTTGCACGTTCTTTCCCCTGCAGTCTGGGAAAGGACAGTGGTTAATTTGAGCTCCAAGAGAATGGCTCAGCAAGGCAGAGGTGCACTGACTGTCCTGCTCCTGAGGGATGCTGCCAGAGCGAGTCTCTGGAGCTCTGGTGTTAAAAGTGGTGGGAGAAAGAAGCATATCCTAATGCAGCAATCTTTAAGGGCAGGAACCTGCTTCAAGCTGTTTCCATCCCACAGACCTCTACAAGGCAAATGACTTTCAGATTTTCCTGCTTGATGCCAAACATCGTTTTTCTAATCCAACTTATCTTTTCTCCTGTGCTTTCCTTCTGGCAGCAGCTGAAGACATCTCCAATGCTTCAACAACTGAGTATGAACCACCGTGTCTTAGTAAGTCTTCATAAATCATTACTATCTGTTAAAGTTAGGTGATGAGTCTGCACAGTGACTGAGATGCTGTCCTGGAAAGGGATTTATCTCAAGTTTTCCATTGTGGGTCAGCCTCTGGGATGCTTTTCTAAGATCCCTCCACTGTCATGGTATGATATCTTAGGTACCCTGAGGCAGATACATGGCTTTGAACAGATTAATTGATAGCTAATTTGTGTCCTAAAGCTCCCTGCCAGACTGCCTGCCTGTAGGTATTACACAGGTTCCCAAGAGCGCCTCTTTCCCCTGCCCTACCAGGTCCTTCCCAAACAGCCAGCCCCAAACAACCTGAGATCCCACCACTACTCCAGAGTCATCCACCAGGTTAGGAGCCAGGTTTAGGGGAAAGGCAGAGGGAGAGGGCAGAAGTCATCTGCCTTACTTGAGCTCACTTCATTTCTCCTCCACCAGACGTGAACTTCTGCAGGCAAGCGGCCACGTGCTGCCCTTCGGGCATGGATGACTACGGGTGGATCGCAGCAGCTGTTGGCTGGAGCCTCTGGTTTCTGACCCTCATCCTGCTCTGCATGGACAAGATCATCAAACTCCGGCCTGATGAACCCAAATACTTGGCCTGAAGCAGAGCGAGCCAGCAAATGGCAGCGCTGGGGAGCAGTGAGGCGCAGGCAGACTGACAAAACGCTTCCAATGCTTGCTAAGAAACAAAAAAGAATGGGAAAACACCTTCAGCCAGAAAAGGCTAGATCTAAGCAGGGCAGCTGCAGAGGCTTCACCCTCTCTTGCAGGCTGGAGCTGCCAGCCAAGGTGTGGAGCGGGCAAGCCCCTCCAAGCCACCACATGTGTCCCAATGAAAAAAACCCCACTTTTCCCTGAGCCCTCTCGTGCTTGCTGTGAGCAGCAGGAGGAGAGGCTGAGGGCCACTTACCAGCCTATAGCACATTGCCTCCACACAACCAGGTGCATGACCTTCGGGTTTGACACAAAGTGGGCAAATAAAGCTATTTTCTGGAGCATCAGCATTACCAGAGCCATTAGTAAGCTATAGGCCATCAAGTACATCAGTAAGTGGAAGTAATTAATTGACTTTATCGAGTCCTTCTCAGTCACTAACCTGCGATATTTAAAAGTCTATTAACAGATACATGGGAAGACTTTCTTATGGAAACTTAGAGATTGTTTGGGCTGGTTTGAAAGTGAAAGTAATTTTTCCAGAGCCATTTAGATGTGAAATGTGTTGCAGGAATTGAATATTGGTTTTATTTATTCAGCTTCCACCTGCCTGAGAAACTGAGCCAAGCTGTAGTGTGGTAAGCAGGTTTAAACCAGCATATCCAGTTCATGCACAAAACTGTTCCTATTTATATGAGATGATAATAAACACTTACTGATTGAAAGACTCTCACTGACTGGTTTATATGGATAAAGCTTATATTGGCAAGGAATTAGTCAACCCAAATTGCTAGAAAAAGGATTCTAGGAAGACATATTCATGCAGGAGGGTTTGCCTCACTGCAGTCAAACTCTGATTTGGTGCAGTTGCACCAGCTTTATTTCTTTCTTCTATAAAAAAAATAAATAAAAATTAAACTACATAGACCAACACAAGGTTAGCAAACCTGCTAGAGATCAACTGAAATGAAACACTGAAGGTGACTTTTAAATTTTAAACTTTTTAAAAGCATCATTGGAGATCTTTATCTAGATCTAGCCAGAAATAATTATACTTTCCCATCAGCTCAAAAGTATGTAACTTCAGGAGCGAGAAAAGACAGAAATCAGTTTAAGACCCTTCCAATTGATTCTGGCACAATTAACACTTTGATCAGGACAATTTGGCCACTTCAAAGTGATGGGCAGTTGTCTCTGCTCAACTATAAAGAGGAACAGGGATGAGTTAGACACTGAGGAAAGAAAATGAAAGGAAGTAATTTGATGGAGTCCTTCCCTATCACTACTATCACTTAAGAAGTCTTTCAGGTGAAATTTTGAACAGATGCTCATGTCAGGAAAGTGAGTTTTTAAAGGGAAGGGCTTAATTCTCAACTTTTCAATGTACAGAAATTAAAACAAAAGTAATTTTCACACAACAAATCTCAGTGTTGGAGACACTCAACTTCTTTCCACAAAAACTCTGACAACCAAGCAAAACAATAAAGTCCCTCTCATTTTGTATAAACTTACAAAATGAAGGGCTTGCAATATGAAACAAAGGACTCTCAATCAACACCAAAATGTGGAGAGCAGTGAATTGACTGTTAAACCACTGCAATCACTCCTGTACTACAAATCTTCTACCTACATTCTTAATTTTTCCCTGTTATATTAGTTCTAATAACAGAAAATGTTCATTGGTCTGAAAGCAATGTGAAAGATAATGTGAAAAAATCTCCACTTACTGCCTTCATGTCTACCTTCTGCAGATCTCTTCCTACAGTTCTCCAGACTTATGGGCATTTTTCTCTGGGCTGGGAACGCAGAAGTGCCTGCTAGATATGGCATTGCCCTTCATCTTTGAGGGCATATGTTTCATAACTTTTGCATGTCTTTGAGTTTTCAGCAGATGATGCAAGTTCTGGATGTCCTACAAGAGCAACAGTCACAAAGAGCTTCCTCACAACTGAGCAACTGTGGGTCTTCCTAAAGTCTGCCTTTAGAAGCACAGCTTGTTCATCCTTCATATTCTCCAGAACCGTGCAGCTACCTTCAAGGACTGTAGTAGACTTAAACCTCAGGTTTTGCTTCTTCCAGTTTCCTTTAAGAATTCCCACCTCAACAAAACAGGGGAGAAAAGGGGAAAAAACCCTATTTTGTCATATAATGTAGTGCCCTCAAGGATTTTGTGTGCCTGCGTTCAAAGGTCTCCACAAAAGTCTACACAAAATCAAGTATAAAAATGGAGTAGCTTACAGACAATTTCTACTGCAAAAAGCATCCCCTTTCTAAATCAGTGACCTAAACCTCTGATCTAGTATGACAGGGCTGTTTCTTCCTGCATCACCTACTCTGACATCTGACATTGTCAGGTTTGATCTACAGCTGCTTCTTTTCAAGTCATTTGATGGAGTCATGTAGAAAGACTTAGTCCTGCAATGAATCTCATGAAGCTCCCAGTTGTGTCTGGGCTCCCGAAACAAAGTGGCAGCGTTCCACAGGCTCCAAGGGTATCAGTGTAAAACATCTTGTCTGCTTCTACATAATACAAACCCCAAATTGCTATTTTAAAGGGCCTCTTCGAGGTGCACACTAAGTGCTGTACTGATTCTATGGGCAATCACAAGTACAATGCAAAACAACCCACTCTGCAAAAGGAGGAGAAAAGCCCCAATGGTGTTGTCAGTGTTCCATGGGTTTGCCCAGTTCCACAAAGCACTGAATTAAAAATTTGCTTCTGAAAGACTTGAGAAATTGATATAGAGGCAGAAATTAGTAGGCAGGAATGGATTATAGATACCTGATTTCTAAATTGTAAAGATTATCTGTAGTGTGCTGTTACATTTCCTGGAATAATTTTAGCCAGGAAACACACAGGAGCACAGGTAGTGGGTTACAACCCCTCATTTAAGAGCAATCGAGTCACAGTTGAAGGCTATGGTCTGGTTTTGATGCACAAATTAAACACAGAAATGCACAAATTAAACATACATGACTGAATAGTACAATGCCTTATAAAAGTGGTCTGTGAGCAGAATTGCAGACTGATGTTCTCATTCATTGTGTATTATTTAATATTGTTTCACACTCTTAATATCACTCACAATTTATTACCACTAATCGTAGATCCCAACTAGTGCATTGCTGTCCAACAACCCCTGTGACTTCAAGGGAGCTACACAAACACCCAGCATGTGCCTTGTTTTGTTCTTTGGGGTTTTTTCCACTGTAATTCAGGAAGTCTGTCATTTTTGTTCCCACAGGAAACCTTGGAGGCAAAGCATAACCACTGATTTATCAGCACGCATAAATCATTTTTGTGTTAAACCTAGGTGCCCCATCAGACTGATATAAACAACCTCATGGCACTGAGCTGGTGTAGGCAGCACATCTCCAGACATGTCAAAAGTAAGGTGATAGCTCCAAATGATGATGGAAATGTTAATGCTCCAGTCATTCATAGCTATTGTCTGTCCAGGACCAAGAAGTTCCTCACTGGAATGAGATGAAGAAAATAAAATAAAAAAAAAAACAAACCAGATTCCAGCGCTTATGATTTAGTATAAAGAAAACCAAGGAAAAAAAGTTCTTTCAAGAAAGTTGTTGAAATCTGGATGGCTGGGTAAAGAAAAAGTGTGAATAAAATTTGCAAGTTTGAAACTCAGCATTGTTGACCACATCAGCAGAGCTCTTCCTATTTTCTTCACTAAGTTTCTGAATCTGAGGAGTGAAAATACGTAGTGCCAGGGAAGGGAGCTGCAGATGGCACCTGGGAAAGCTGCTGGTCTGCAAGTGTTTCACACAAACAGAGCACTGGGGACGTGTAACTGAGCAGCACTTTTAATAACAAAGGAGAAAAACAGCAGCAGCAGCAGCAGCACAGCATTGCAGGGTAACTGCTTTAATTTGCCTGGAGATAGTATCAATCACATCCAACTAGTGATTTTTAAAAAAAAAATTCTTAATTTGAGATTAAATGGATTGGAACTCGATGCATGACTCTTCATCTTTTCAGATACCACTGCTCTGGTAATGACTCACATTACTCACTGCCTTGATCCTTGGGGTTTTAGTGAATGAGCTACATATTAAGCAATTGCACTTCACAATGATTACACTTTGCCAAATCACCAGAGGAATGAAAACTGGCAAGCATCTGGGCTCCCTCCTCACGTGAAACACACAGACAAGACAGAGGTTAAATTCATAAGAAAAGGTGTTCTGTACTGGGACTCTGTAGGAATTTTGATAAAGTCATTACAAAAACTAGGATTTCAAAAACTTATTGTCATTAATTACTGCCAAGGAATGGAATATAGGCATTCTTGGCAACCACCCACCCTCTCTCTCTTATCCTTACTCTCCAGATTCTGCTTATTTTGTGGCATCTGTGGTACCAGTATTTGTTGTGGAATTCAAAGCTCACTGCAGGTTTCTCTCCCAGAATCAAACATGTTCAACGAGCTAATTTCCAACTCCTAGTTTGCAATAACCATCCAGAAATAAACCATGACATAAAAAATTCAGTATTGTCTCCCAAGTCTGAAAACTGCTTGGAATTAAAAACAGCTCTAAGACTTGTGACTTTTCCTATCTAATGTGACAGTATGACCTTGACAGCATGACTTCTGGAGCAAAAATTAAGTACTTTTTCAGGTTTTCCACAGCTCTGTCTGCCTTGTCTAAATGGGAGAAGGGAGACACCTGCAAAGCCCCACCTCTGCTAGACTGCTACACTTTGTGCCATGGCACTTTGTGTATATAATCAGATCAGTTCCAATCAACATACTGTGCACATAATCAGTTCAAAAAGATGCAAGTTCTAATGTAGAGACCCTCTGGACTCAAATGCATGAAGAAACCACCTTACTTTAGCTGAGCAATACCAACATCCTGTCACAATGTTGGGTAAGAGAGGTTAGCTCCTCCCTTAAGAAGACTCAATAATGCTCACTGGCACTATTGA